CCTAACCCTCAATGTGACATTAGGGGACATAAGGGTCTTTGGGATGGACCTGGAGTCGTGACAGTGGGGATCTTCTAAGTGGGATTAGTGTCCTTTAAAATTTTATTTTTATTATATGTGTGTGTGTGTGTGTGTGTGTGTGTGTTTTGCTTCTGTGTATCTATGTGCACCACCTGTTGCAATGTATAGAGTCCAGAAGAGGGCAGTGGATCCCCTGGAACTGGAGTTACAGATGGTTGTGAGCCACCATGTAGGTATTGGAAACTAAATCTAGGTCCTCTACAAGAGAAGCCAGTGCTCTTAGCCACTGAGTCATCCCTTCAGCCCAGGGACTAGTGACTTTATAATAGAGACCCCAGAGAGACCCTCACCTCTTCTGACAAGTTGGATATGCTCAGAAAGTGTCTCTATGACACTGTCCCTCAAAAGCCCTCAGTAGACACAGAATGTGCCAGCATCTTGAATTTAGACTTCTGCCTCCAAAATTATGAGAAACAGTGGTTGGTTGTCTTAAGCCATCTACCTGGTGGTATGTTGTGTGACCCACTCATGCTTGCATTAGCATGGAGTTCCACCAGACCCTAAGCCCTTGTTCCCTGCCTTGGTAGTTCTGTTTTACAAGGATGCCTCATCCAGAAATCAGGCAAGAAACTGAGATGCTTGGGAAACAGGAAGAGGGAGGAGCAGCTTTTCCTGAGGTGAGGCGTTTAGATTAAAACCTACTTAGAATACTCTGGAAAAATAGGGGTGGAGGTGGGTTAACACAAAGCTTACTCGAGAATAGCAATGTGCAAAGAGAAACACTAAGAATACATGTATTCTCGGGGGAGGGGGGGACACTGCATTCAGAATTTATCTTTTGCTGTTTTGACATTCAGTTTATTTTTTATTTTTTAAATTTTTATTTATGTGTCTATATATCTCTGTGTATGTGTAGGTGCCTGTGGAAGCCAGAAGAGAGCATCAGATTCCCTGGAGCAGTACTTATAGGCAGTTGTGAGCTGTCCCATGTGTCCTGGGAACCAGACTCTGGTCCTCTGCAAGAGCAGTACAACCCCTTAATCACTGAGCCATCCCTTTGGCCTCCAAAAGATTCAGTTTAAAAATAAAAAGCATTCATGTGCCTGAAACCATTATATATTCTTAATACCATACAGTTGTATACTGGGGAGATGTTAGAGAATTCTAATTATGTCAATATTAAGTCACAGCACCGTCAAATCCATTCTTAATCTAATGAGCTATAAATAATTAAGGAAGCAAGTGTATGTACTTAAGAACATTCAAATCTTGTGACTACATATTAATTCTAGGCATCCTGGAAGAGTGATTCTTTATTGGAGGAAAGTATGGGAAAAAAGCAAACATAAGAGCTACAGAGTGAGTCAGGAGTGGAAAGAGGAGAAAGGTCGGACAAAGGCAGCCGCAACTGAAGACTGCAGAGTGTAGAGACCGCATCAGAGCCCACGAAGACTCGTGAGGAAGCTGGGTGGGCACACTGCAGTCTGAGATTAAGACAGGAAGACGGCAGAAGTGCAGCAGAGAGAGTAAACAGAAGCATCTGTGCATCCTGCAGGTCACAAACTCAGCCTCACCTTGAGGAATCAGCTCCACATACCACGAAACCCTCAGACATTCAAGACCATTACACAACATGATGTCATTTTTGTGTCTAGCCTGTGCACGTCCTCCCACAGACTTTATGTCATGTCTAGATTACTTGTAATATTTAATCCAAAGTCAATGAATGTTATCTTGTATTGTTTAGGGAATAATGTGGGGGGGTGGTCAAGATGCTCAGTACAAAAGCAGTATTTTTCCAATATTTCCACTGGTGATCACGACTGCACATTTTCTACAAGCTAATCTAGAACTTTCTTTTTCATATCTAAAAGTGCTCGAAGCTTCTTTTCTAAGGCATATTTGAAAGGCAAAAGCAAGAATCAAAGCAGAAGCCAAAGAAAAAAGTATTGCTGTGTTTAACAGGGGAAAAGATGACTAGGTAAGTACCCAGAAGGAATGGGGTCGGCGAGAAGAAAATGCCGTGTGAGGTTAATCATGCTGCTAAGCATGTGCTAGCAAACACAAGAAGCCAGCAGCCATAGGAGCAGAATCGACCACCATCTCAGACAATATTCAAGACAGAAGGTGTCGGTTGTTATCTGCCTGGCGTGTTAACACATGCAATTTGCACAAGAACCCTAAAAGACAGGTACATTTCTTTCCTCCACTTTTTCCGGACACTGAATGTTCATCTAGCAATGGGCCCAAAGACATGGCAGCGGAGAGCCAGATGCCCACAGATGAAAGATTAGGCTGTTGTTTCTCAAGGAAAGGACCTAATGGAAGAAAAGCAACTGGCCCATTGGTCCTTACTAGAGTGAGTTCGTGACTAAATCCACCCTGACACTACAATTAAGGTGAATCTCTGCAATATGTTTATTAAGTAAGTTAAACTAACGTTGATTGTGTGCCTACCTTGCTTAGCGCATGGTGCCGGGCAGTGAGTGAAAGGTCTTCACTTAGAACAAAGTTTATCTAGTCTTTTAGATGAATGAAGTCCGTGTCTTAGCATTTATGAGGGACATGTGGGCTCGCCTAACCTTCACACTCTAGAATAGAGGCACACAGCAAGAGCTGGTCTTAAGTTTCAGGCATTGGTTCACAACCAGCTGAAACCAGTGCTGATAAAATTCTCTCCCCTTTGTCAGGGCATCTGGTTCAGCAACGGCTCCAGATGCAATTTGGGACTATTTAAGACATCACCTGCAGATTTTAGGGGGTTGTAGGGAGGGATCTGTTCTTTTTCACAAGAGAGAACTTCTCTCACCTCCACTAAATGAAACAGGAAATATGTAACATGGGGACCTGACCACAGTCAGCTGAGGTCCCAGAGGAAAATCTGGGCTGCTGGAAGCTGACCTCACAGAAGTCAGACAGAGAGGTAAAGAAACTGTGTCTTCAAGTACAACAGAGACACTGCATTAAACTCTATGTGTCACTGCCATTTTCTTGAGGCCAGAGTCCCTGTGATGTTCAAGACATGGTGGCTCCAGTCTCTCTTTATACCCAACTGATGACGTCCCAAGGGACGGATGCACCATCCACCTCTACCACAACCTTCATCCTTTCTACTTAAATGCGTGGACCACTTTAAATCACATCTCACCATGTCCCAATAAAAGAAAACCACAAAACTGATTATGACAAGTCACTGTCCTCACACCCAAGACCCCAGCATTGCACAGAGTATATTAAAGCTACTTCAGTAGGCTCTAAAATAATCAAATTTAATCCCCTCAACATTCGGTTCAGTTACAGGATGTGAACCCTGAGGGTCATGTAGCTTAGAAGGTAGCTTAAAGTGTGGGTTTTGCTGCAGGAACTTGAACTGTGAATTCACACAAGTCACTGGAACTCCAGATACATGTGCTTGTTACTCAAGGGAATGTAAGCACGTGACTCGCTAAAGGGACGAATGGACTGAAACTATGGAAAGAATTGGCACAGAGACAGCTAGGATGCCATCCTGTCTCGATAGCTCACAGCAGCGTTCCTTCCTCACATAACTTGCTCTGCCCTAGGACGACCATTCTCACACCTCTTTAGCCAAGCACTAGTCTGTCCGAAGAATTCAGGCCACGTTACAAGTAAAGAAGTCACACTACAGTGTTAAAAATACAACCAAACTCAGCTGGGCGTGGTGACGCAAGCCTTTAATCCCAACACTCAGGAGGCAGAGGCAGGTGGATCTCTGTGAGTTCAAGGGCAGCCTGGTCTACATAGTGAGTTCCAGGACAGCTGGGGCTACAGGGAGACTCTGTCTCAAAAAAAGAAAAAAAAAAACAACCAAACTGAGTCCCTCCCCTTCCCCCCCGGCCCTGAAATTCAATTCTTCATCTACAAAGAAAGGTAGTCTTGGAATTTCAGTACCACAAAATCTTTATCCTAATGGCAGCTGTGGGTAAAATAACCAATCTAGATTCCTATAATGCCTCAACATCCCTGGTCTTGTTCCGAGAAACACCAGTCCTGTGACAGCATGCAAATTGCACATGCTTAATTTTAATGGCATAGCAAGATCTCATCTAAAGGAAACATTAAAAATTCTAATAGGGACAGTTATGATTAAATTATATTATGACTATAAATTTTAATGAGATTTAATTATACTATAAAAGATTTTCAAATATTTTGACTAAGCCTCCTTTTCACATTAAAAGTGCTGTGTGCTCTTTCTGCTATATTCGGGTACGCCCCTGTGCCATCAGAACTCTGTCATTCAATTAATATTGGAATATATTAATAGATTTAAAATCTTCTGTACACCAGACATTAAGACAAATGACAGAGACACATAAAACAGAAAGCTGACAGCCTCGATCTAATTCCAAGCCGGGGTATCACTTAGTAAGAATTGTGATAAGCACTATGATACAGGTAAATGCTAACTGCCAAGAAGGCCACTTACTGGCTTACAAAGAGGGTAAGACCCGACTGTTCGAAGTCTTGCAAGAGGTAAGAATATGTTAATATAATAGTGCAAGTAGGAAATGGGTAAGGTGTACATTTGTACAGAACCCACAGGATTATATGGCTCAGAGGAGGGCAAACATATCTAGAAGTTGCCAAATCGGATCTTAAAAATACCAGAGAGACCCTAGAACAGATGTATGACACGTCAGCTCTGAAAGGAGAAGGGCTTTGTAATATTACTCACAAAGTAGAAACACCTAGTACCTGTCTGCATAGAGCCCCAGTGGCACAAGCTACCCCTAGATGCCCCTGCTCACCAGCGCAGTCTCAGCTGCATCTCTAGTGGCCTTCCTCAGTCAGAGATGGACTTACACCAAGTATCACTGACTTTAGGTCAACACCATTAAAATTAGAAGTCCTGCTTAGGGACAGTTATAAAATTGCTATAAAATTGCTGTTGCTATTATGCAACCATGCTAAATACACTACATTATTTGCCACAGAAACTAAGCCATGGCCCTTACCCAGCAACTCATACAGAGAATTGAGAATGGATTTCCAGGACTCCCCCGCTTCTCGCCCGGCAACATCTGCAAAGTGTGCTGCGCTGCTGTAGACGTGCAGGCGGTCGACACACTCCAGCACCAGGTTGATCATTCCCTGGACGGTAAAAATATCACCATCAGAAACCAATACTGAGCTGGGCACAATGGTTCACTCCTATAGTCCCAGCACTCAGGAGACAGAGGCAGGAAGATCACTGTAAGTTCAAGACCAGCCTGTATGGCAAGGTAAGGCTGCATCTCAAAAGAGATAAACTAATTCTGCTCAGGCAAAAAAAAAAAAAAAACAAAAAAAAACAGGCTAACTTGACTTTTAAAAGAAGTCTGGCTTAATATATGTCTATTGGTCATGAGTTAAACTGAGATAACTTAAAGGACGGAAGGAAACACATTTGCTTGAGAAATAAAAGGTTGTTCAGATCATTCAGTTGGGTTTTAAATCTTGGGTGCAATCTTAAAAAGGGAAGAAAATATTAAAATATTAAAACATGTACTTCATACTTACATTTGCAAGGTTTAACGCTGGTTGAAATGAATAGGTCATAAATGGTAGTCTACCGTCAAATAGGCATTTGAGAATGTCTTTGTTTTTGAGAGGTATTACTATAACACTAAATTAAAGATACAGTGAATTAAGTAAAAGAAAGACCCTTAAAAGAAATTTTAAAGCAAGTAAAAATTATAAAGTTCTGCAGAAAACAGCCTACAAAGATGCCTCCAGTGTCACTGTTGGAACAAGCCTCTGAAAATGAGACAGCACAGAAAAGAACTGTAAAGTGCCAAGTAATCAAATTAACTCTCATGACAGAAGTTAAGAGGTGCCACAGCCCTCAGAGCGTTCCTAGGTCTGAGGATATGAACAAGAAAAAGTCACCCAATCTAACATTAGGTTGATAACATTTAAATTTAAATTCTTATTGAAAATTTTCATGGCCTAATATTTGGGTTTAATTCCTTCAGATAAGAAATACAGTACTCAGTCTAATAATTTGGCACGTGTGAAGACAAGAACACTAATAAATTCATCCTTATTATTATTGCTATTGGTTTATGGTGGCATTCCTTGTTTTTGTGCTTTTATGGTCTTAAATTATTTGTTTTATTTACATAGGAAAAGACCCACAAAAACTAGTGTCCGTTTCAAAAGTATAAAAAAACAGTGTTAAAAGCACGATATGGATGGGAATGTGGAAAGCTGACCATGTCTTCTCTTTTTCCTTAGATGCTTTTACAATATACTTCTTATGCATTTTAGTTATGTATATGCGCGTGAGTGCAGATGCCCACAGAGGCCAGGAAAGGAGTCAGATTCCGGCAGCTGGAAATACAGGCAGCTGTGAGCCACCCAGCAAACTCAGCTCTCTGCAAAAACAGTGTGAACTCTCAACCTGCGGCCATCTCTCCAGCTCAAGACACTTATTTCTTGAAAAAAAAGCATCACTCCCCATGGCCTAATATTTGGGTTTAATTCCTTCAGATATGAAAGAAATGAAGTACAGTAATCAGTCTAAGAATTTGGCTTGTGTGAAGATAAGAACACTGAGAACTGAAATGTTTGCTGAGCCCCCGGCTGGCCGTATCAACCCTACCCTGCCACACTGAAACTCTTGAAATAGATAAAACTAGTTCTGACATCACCTCAGGACACTAGGCATGTGGCCTGCTTCTGATTTGACTCTGTGTGGAAAGTATGCGACGTGAGTTCTTTATCCCAGTGAAACACTTAGTGAAATAAAATCATATACACAAATGTACATGTGGAGCTGGAGATGTAGCTCAGTGATAGAGCACTCACTTGCCTAGCATACAGAAGGACCTGGGCTCGTCTATAGTACCAAACAAGAAATGTAATATATGGAAAATGAAAAGGTAGGGGCTGCTCGGTCCATGCCAGAGTTCACCTTCCTCCTTGGGGGCCACCTTCCTGGTGGTCTCTATTCCCAACCCAAAGCCCCTGTGGCCAGAGGTAATTTGAGGAATTCCTCATAACTTACTGAACCATGTGGAAGTCCTGATGCTTTTCTGAAGTCTGTGATTTTTTTAAGGTTCTTTATTTATGAAACCAATATAAAACAGTGAGATCAAAGTGCGTTCATTTATTCAGCTGATTATGGCTCTGTTTTAAAGATCACAGCTTTGAATGTGTCTGAGAATCACCTTCAGGCACAGTGCTGCAAAACCAGAATTAAAGTCGAGTCTATCTAAGACAATCACAAAACAGATACTAAAGGAAATGACGGCACCCTTAGGAAAGTTCACCCAGCAACACTCCCTAGTGCAGTATTCACAAATGTCCTCCTGAGGGCTGATGACACAGCAGGTGTCCCTTGCCAAGGGAGTGACAGAATAAAACTAATGACCAGTGTTCCTCCCAAGCCTGTCCCCTTGTTCAGGAAGACCCTCGTTACTCTACACCAGGACATGAGACAGTGTGGAATTGATGGAGAATCTTCTTCACTACAAAGTCATTTTCCCAAAATGAGAGAATGAGCATAGGTAAGGTCTCACCTCTTCCTGGAAGAGATTCTGTCTGTTTTTCAAGGCTCGCAGCCTGTTCTGCTTGTCCTCGTGTTCCAAGTGCTCGTCTGGGGGGTGGAAGTAGCCGATGAGGTCCTGCAGACTCAGGCTCATGGACTCTATGGGCAAGTCCACAGCAGGTGCCTTTGCTTTCTTGCTGAGCGCATCCAGGCCCCTGAGTCAACAGCAAACACTTGTCTAGGTCAGTGGGCCACAGTTTCAATTCAGTGTTGTTTGGTTTGCAGATTGCACAGTGATACCTTGTCCACAGAAGGCACAGGAAAAGGAATGTACAATAAAGGGCCTCCTCTCGACCAGCAATCGTGAGCATACTCACCTTAGAACTGTGCCATGGCATGTAAGTATCACGGTGTATCACCAACAGAGCACCCAGGTTGCAACCCTTCTGCAACAAACTCCATCAGGCCACCAGTCAACAGAGGAATAGTCCAAATACGAAGTCAACTGGTTTCAGGTCAAGACATGCGTACCGTAAGATGTAAGGCCACATCTTCCCTGATTCAGACCTCTGACATTTACGTGTTTGAGGTCAGTTTGTTTTAGGATAAGGAATTATTTTAGATTTTCCCATCATTGACACTAGTTTCTAGCTTGTTGAATTCCTATCAGTTAAAACATTGCATTTGTGGAGGTTAGAGAGATTGCTCAGTGGTTAGAGCATTTGCTGCTCTTCCAGATTCAGTTCTTAGCACCCACATGAGGCAGCTCACGGCTGCCTCTAACTCCAGCTCCAGGGGATCTGTTGCCCTCTTCTGGACTCTGAAGGCATTGAACTCATACATGTAGAAACCAACACACAGACACACACATACATATAAAGATTTAAAAACAAATCTTTACCAAGAAAGTGCACTGATGGTCTCAACAGGGTGGTGACCTGCACAAGACAGAACTTGTCAACATGGCATCACAGGTGGAGGACTGGCTCAGGAGGCCACATCCCTCCACAAGGAGCTACTGGCAACTAATGGTTAGTGGGAGAATGGAGCCATTCTCGTTGGTGGCGTAACCATGCCTCTATAAACCACCCTACAACCATGGCCCAGAGGGTCACCAAAAACCAAAATGAAACAAGACATAAACATAGGAAGGGGACATGTTGGGAAGAGGAAAGAGTTCAGTGTGAGCAGGACACAGACGAGAGGGTGATGAGGGTGTACGTGACAAAAATACAGTATATTTATGTTTGAAACTGTCAAAGAATAAACAGTGAAATCTATAACATAGCACTAGACTTGTCATTGAATATGTTGGCATAATTATTAATCATGAAAATAATTAATATGTATATTATAAATATATCTACATATATGTATATATACACAGTCTAGGGCTGGGACTGTGACCTGGTGGTAGAATGCTTGCCTAGCATCTCTGAGGCCCTGGGTCCAATCCTAGCACTGAAAATACACACAAACACCCACATGCATATACCACATCCACTCTAGTGATATTAACTTAGCAAGATTGAATACTAACAAGCAAGCAATATAGCAAAATGATTTTCTATTATCTGACATAAATGCATTTAAAGTTTATATAAGAGACACACCACAACTAATTTTCTAACATCTGAAGAAAGACACTGCTAGGACCAAAATGTGTTTATTTGTTCCTGACCAAGGCTCTATTTTAAAACTAACAGCTTCAAATGTGTCTGAGAAGTTACCTTCAACCATGATGCTGCAAAATCAAAAATCATTCCCAAGCCTATCAAAGAATCACAAAGCAGACACCACTACAGAATTCAGCACCCCTGCTGCGGAGATGGCTCGGCAGTTAAGAATGTGTGCTACTCTTGCAGGGGGCCCAAGTTCAGTTCCCAGCACCCACATCAGGCAGCTCAAACTGCCTGTAACTCCAGCTCCAGGGCATCTGACGCCCTCTTCTGGCCTCTGCAAGCACTGAACTCTCACAAACCCACACAAGACATATTCCTTCATTAGAGTCAAGACGACCTCCCACCAGAGTTGACCCAACAACTTTCAGAATTCAGTATATGAACATCCCATGCTTTGCACCTTCTTTCTGCTTCAGCGAATTGTATGACAACACGCTATTGTAAGGAAATTGGCTTCGGTGAATTTCCTAACTGTATCAGAACTTGCATTTCAAAAATGACGACGATTAGCTTAGCCCTGCACTTTGTAACACTCAAAACATTATCTTAAGTGTATCAGTATTCCCATAAAGAGAGCTAATGATGTTGAATATTAGAATTCAGTTTTTTAAATCACTAGAAATAATGTAACTACAGCTATTTTTATCTGAAATTCTCTAGCAACCATGTCAATGGAATTGACCTCTCTCCTACTTTTCTCCCCTTCAGGTGATATTCTGATTAATATGAGCAATTGTACAGAACCACAAGTAACCAAGGCAACCTGAGGCTGATTCGTACCCCATCGTTAAGACTTATTCTAGCTGAAGAAGTTCAAGTGTCAAATGAGGCAGAGAAATGACGTAAGCCATAGACATTAATGGGGCTGAATGCTGCCTACATCTTTAGACGTGCCCCCGCCCCTTCTACTCACATACTGGAAGCATTCGATGAAGCAAAGCATCACTAAAGGAACTGTGATACAATCATGGGAGGGAAGGTCTTCATATGTTGAAGGCAAAAGGGGAAGATTGATAACGCAGCTGCCATGAAAACGTTTTGAAATTATTTTTCAAACTGATAAATTGTGACAAATACTTGCAACTACACATGAAATTAATGCCTTTAATATAAAAGGCTGAAATGGTCTAGTAACAATGTTAACAAATAATATAGTAAATTTAATTTTTTTATTTATTTACTATTATTTTATGTGCACGATGAGTGTTTTACCTATATGTATGTAAGTGCACCCATATTATGCAATGCCCATGGAGGCCAGAAGAGGGCATCAAATCCCTGGAACTGGAGCTACAGATGGTTCTTAGCCACCATGTAGGTTCTGGGACTCGAACCTGGGTCCTCTGGAAGAGCAGCCAGTGCTCTTAATCACTAAGCCGTCTTTCTAGCTCATAACAGAGTAAATTTTTAAAATGACAAAATATTGACAATAAGCACGAAACATCAGTTCTCATAATTTTCAAATTTTAAAAGACAAGACACATGTATGCAAAATTTTAAGATGGCAATATACACATCTTAAAGTGTTGCATTACATTTATGCATATGAATTTGTTTATTCATAGATAAAAATTTCCTCTATCAGATCAGTAAACTTTAAAAAAGAGAAAAGAAATCCATCCCTACTCAGTGTATTGTTGTCAGAAAATACTTTGGTTACAAAGTTGATTTATTTTGTGGACATGCAAATGTTTCCTTTAGTAAGTATAAAAATTAGTTATTATAAGAACCACCATTTTTTTAATGTGGTTCCAAACTCATCAACTATTTAGGCTTCATGACCCTCACTATAAAATGGAATTAAGTAAATCTAGCAAAAAGCAATTAGAAGGATCATCAGGAACTCTAGCCATGAATCACAAATTAAACACATATAACTTCATTAGTATCATTTTAAGTTATTTATTTTTTTGTTTTATGTGTATGAGTGCCTTGCCTGCATGTAAGCATATCATGTGCAAACAATGCTTGCAGAAGTGGGCATGAGATCCTCTGGAACTAGAGTTAAGGACCTTGTTAGTTGTCATGTGGGTACTGGAAACTGAGCCTAAGTCCTCTGGAAGAGCAGCCAGTGCTCTAAAACCACGAGGCCATCTCTCCGGCCCCTCATTATTACTTTTTGAATATTCTTACAAAAGATATATTTCCTATGAAGCAGTTTTAGTTCTCTTCTGAAAATCTGACAAATGATATATTTGCCATCATAGTATATTTTAGAGTTACCTATTTTTAAATACATGGAGAAAGCTAAAAAGAGACTATCAAAGTAGAGAGGAGAGATCCCTACAGCAAAAAAATTACCGTATGAATCTGTTGAAGAGGAACACTGTGCTCCGTATGACTCGGGCTGTGCGGGATTCCTCATGCTGGGATCTGGATAGATTCAGTCCATCGTCCATGTGGCCTTCATGGTGCATGATAGCCTGAAAGAACATGGGGACGGCATGGTTATCCATCATTCCCAGTATGTCTTTTCCAAAGCAGACTTAAGAAAATGTGCTCTTACCGTGTGTGGTGGGACACATGTGCAATCCCAGCTACTCAGGAGGCAGAGGCAGGGGGTTACATTGTGAGCGCAAGGCTAGCCTGGGAAACTTAGTGAGACTGTCTCAAACATGAGCCAGAAAAGCAGCTCAGGGGTAGAATGGGTGCCCAGCATGTGCAAGGCCCTGGGTTCAAGCTCAAGTACCCCTCCCCCACAAAGAAGGTATTTCTCAGAAAGTTGAACCATATCAATAAGTAGAATAAAACACAGGTAAAGGGCGTCAGAAAGCTGTTGAGACCAGTCATTCAAATGCTGATCACATCACTAGTGCAAAGAGTAAGTAGTTCAATTAGCGTACCGAGTGAGACCAAATCAGGACTCTTTCCATATCTACATTCAGTGATTTACCTTCAGCCTAAGCAAACTATAAAACAATGGTAAATACTGCACATTATATGACTGTATAATATTTTCCATTGTAAAGTAGAGACATCACTAAGTACTAAACACTGATTGTAAGGTAGCTAAATGCTCAATACATACACAAGAGATCTTTGTTAGTCTATGTATTTTGAACTTCCTGTGACAGCATAGCATTAGGAGAGGTAAGTACACAGATCTTAAGTGAACGGCTCAAGGAACTTCAGAAAAGAGAACACACACGAGTGTAACTAATACTCATAAAAGAGACCACTGGAGCCGTTCACAATTCCCCCAGGTCCGCTTTTTCATTCTTCACAGTGTTCACAACCTTCCAGAATTCCAACAGCCCCAGTCGGTTGGTTGGTTGTCTTCTTACACCACATGAGTAGAGTCCCAACACGTGTCCCTTCCTGTCTGGCTTCCTTCAAACAACATACATTTAATCAAGTATATGAACCAAAATTAGTAACTAGAACTAAAATCATTTCCACTATCTTGAATGAACAGGAATTCCTAATGCAAAAATTAATACACACAGATCTGCTCTCAAAGTCAAGATTCTACCCCTACAAACTGCTATTAATAAAGAAAAATCATTACAATAAACAAATGTATTACCCATTTTGAGATTATACCTAATAAAGTGGAAAAGTGGAATTAATGAAGATAAAAGAGGAAATTAATGAGCCAGAAAGCAACTAGAAAGTATGATTAAATCCAAAATTCAATTCTCTGAAAAGATAAACCTGTCACAAATTGTACTGAAAACAAAATAGAAAGCAAAGATCAAGAATATAGGAAATTACTCATAGTAACACAGAAACAAGCATAACACAAGTCTGGGCATTCAGAGGAACAGAGGGGGTTTTGGCAAGGAATGATCAGCAGAGACAGGCACGGTTCCACGCATGTGTAGTCCTAGCTATTTGAGAGGCTGGGGCAGGAGGATCACTTGAGCTAGCCTGGACAACACACCAAGATTCCTTCTCAAAAGCAATAACAAATAATCTCCAATAGTCAAAAGGAGTTCTCCTCAACTATGCAGAAAATTAATTATATATGGTTTGTCTTTTGAAAACACTGGAAGAATATAAGACTTAGCATATAGACCTCAGGACCAGATGGATTCATATGTGAATACGGATAAAATTTCAAAGAGCGGACACTCCTGGACCAGAGAATGACAACCAAAGGCTTAGCATCCATCTTTATACAACCTTTCCTCCCCAGATTTCTTTATCAGAGCCAGTGGTTTATCAGAGCGACAGCAACCAAACTAGAACAGCTTATAATTTTCAGAAATTCACAAAACAGCCAGATTCAATTGTGGAAATTAAGTAATATTTCATGGATATTGAATCCATACATATAAATTTAGATTTATTAACTTAGACAAAAGAAGTTGAAAATAAGTGATCAATTCATCAGAATAAGGGCCTTGCAGAGGCACGGGTGTGAGAACTTACATCCAGACTTCCGGAAGACAGTAGACAGATGCAGTCCAGCAAAACTGTACCACTGCGGCACCAGCCTCAACATCTCTAAAACCAGCAGAGGCTACTCTCCACAGATCATGGTAACGATGCGCATTCTGAATGAGTGTGTGTACAGACTGACTTAATCAGTCTTAACTAAAACCGTCTTTACTTGAGGTCTCATGTTCTAGAACTATTTTGCATCTTGTTTGGTTCTGTTCACTGCACTTTATGTCCTGTGTGAAAATGTGAGTGCTATCCTCCATGTACTCCACCAGGGACGAGAGAGAGAGCGAGAGAGAGAGAGAGAGAGAGAGAGTAGAGAGAGAGAGAGAGAGAGAGAGAGAGAGAGAGAGAGAGAGCGCCTGGGGTGTTAGTTACTTTTCTGGTGCTGTGATAAAAATACTGTTAGATTTTTTGGAGAATAAAAGGAAAGATAGAGGAGTGGGAGACAAGAAACCAGAGCCAGACCTGCAACAGGCAAGGGCTATATCTTCCTTTATTGAAAGAAGATAAGTGAGAGGTAGAGGCTGACCGCAGGAACCAAGCTTCTACAACTAGCAAAAGAAAACAGGGGTGGGGGGTGTTATAAGAAAGTTGTGAGACACAGCTGCACTTTGTGGGGAGTTGAATTAGTGCTTGGGTTTGGTGTCCTTGGAGTGATTGAGGGTCTTCTTAAGATGACTTCCTCAGACTTGGGCAGGCGTGTTATCTATGACCCTAGAGGAGACAGGTGGGCTCCACAGTCTCTCTCAGTCCCAGAGTGACCACCTGACGAGGTGTGAGCAAGGCCAGGCTGCCAATTTAGGGCCAGTTAGACACTTTAAGGGATTTATGGCTTTCCCTAATGAGGCTGTGGCTCTTCTGCAGTTCACACAGTCTATCAAATACCATGACCAAAAGCAACTTAAGGAAGGAAAGGTTTATTTCAGGTCATAGTTCCAGACAGAGAGACTTAATGGTGGGAAGGCTAGCACAGCAGTAGGAACAGGAAGCTAGCTGATCGGATATTCGTCCACGCACAGGAAGCAGAGAGAGTAAGCAGGAAGTGATGCGACGCTATTAAATTCTCAAAGCCTTCCTCATAATGTGCTTTCTCCAGCAAGGGTGCACCTCTGAAAGGCTCCACAATTTCCCTAAACAGCATCACCCACAGGTGTGTTCATAAACATGAGCCTGTGGGGACCTTCTCATTCAAACCACCACATGCAGCAAATAAAAACACAGTGAGTGTATATAAAGTTTAATAAGCTCCATATGAATGCTTTGAGAGCACTGAAGAGGAGGGTGTGGTGGATCAGCTGAGAAAGGAATAATTTCTGACATGATCTTTAAATTAAACCTGTGAAGGATAGATAAGGCTTAGGCATTCAAAACAAGACCCATGAGCTACAATAAGCAAAAGGGACAGTGTATGTAAAAACCACAGGCATGCAAAGCTTGTCCCTTTAAGCAAGTCTTGAGGGACTATAACACATGTGCTTAAGGGACACGCTGAGTAAATTAAAGGTGATGCCTAGAAACTAAGGAACAGGGTAGGAAATGGAGGCAGACCAGGAAGGGGAGCACGACCATCAAGAAGAATATTACCTTATGAGCAAGGCAAGAATGAAGGGCAGAGAAGATTAAATGGAGGAAGATCCAGGAGACAGTATATCTTCTCACCTACTAATTAAATACATGAATTCCGTAATCGTAACCCTACATACCACTGAGATAACTTCAACAACAGTTCGCCTTACAAAAGTCAAAAAACCTCTCACGGTGGGATTTTTATACAGGGAAGAAGCGGCTGAAAATCCAACAGTTTATTATAAGTAGTTATTATTATGTACACATAACATACAAACGGGATTTGAAACACTGGCCAGATGGGGCTGTGTGCATTGGCAAGCAGCTTGGTCTGCAGAATCGTTTGGCTGCATTACTGAACATCCGGAGAGGTTAGACCTTAGCATGTAAAATGATGAACTTGAGCCAGGGGCTCCAGTCTGGCCTCATATTTGTGGTTTTCATTTATGAACATGACTTTCATTAAGTTGTGTTTGTATGCAATCTTACCTTACGCTGTATGGATCCCATCCGAACTGATTTCACATCTACAGATTGGTAGGTCAGCCACAGGCCTGTATCCACATGTTGTATGTAGCATATGGAATCCCCATATTTGATTTCTGAAGTTCCCATGCCATCAACATCTTTTCTTACCCCTACATCCAATTTTTCCTAAGTAGAAAAGAAAAAAACAGTTCTTTTTAATTTTCAAATAATAAGTAAAATTTTATTTTTTAAAAGATGATAAGGGGACTCTGGTAACTAAAATGGGCCATTCCTACAGAAACCAAATGTAGTAATTGATCAACGTGCCTTGAAAATCAACTCAGACTGGCCCTGTGTTCACTATTAGTGCTGACTATGTTGGCAAACAACTTATGGGGTGTGCAACTTTCTTTTTTAATTATTTATTTAATAACCACATGATTAGATGAAGCATTTCATTACAGCATTAATATCTTCAATAACAATTTCTAGAGAAAAGATGCATCTCTTTCAAAATTGGCTGTAATTTTTAGGTTCACAGTTGAATTAATACAGTTATATAATATTGAACTCAGTATAAACCCTATAAGACATAAAATTAAATGAGGTTTTAACCTTTAAAAGAGAGCTCCATTTCATTTTAAAATATACTGTTTCATACAGAAAAACTCATTTTTAATGCTACTAACACTTGGATGTTTGCACATGTCTCTAATCTCTATGTATCTGATTATTACTGGTCATGGTCAGTTACTTTCTGAGATCCACCTGAGCATGGATATAAAATCATCAGGTAGAGTACAATGGTAATGTGTTTTACCTATGCTAATTAACATGAAGCAAATTTTTATGCTTCTTCCTCAAATATAACTCATTTTTTAATTTGTTGACTTTTTTGTGTGTATTTCATATAGAACATCCCAAACAATCTTATTCATCTAGATACCCACTTCCCAAGTGGCACCCTCCCATAGCCTCCCCCGCCCCCACTGGAACCCATATACTCTGTCATCCCTGTTTTGTCCACTGTGTTGTCAGCGCCCCCAGCCATTCCCCAGTGCTTGTCCATCCACTGAGTCTACTCAGCCTATCTAGAGATCCTGTTTTAGGAAGATCAGCTCTTCATCATCTTAGATAAGCTTGGGGTCTGCTGTTCATTTCCCAGTTTTATGCTGGGTTATTGTCTGGGAATCTCTTGGGCCACCCTGGCCAACAGCTCAAAGGAAGGTACCACCTGTCTGGCATTGTTTCTTGTTACGTAGTTTTTAGCTATACACATGAACTCTTAAAGAGTTATATTGATCCCTTTAATCTTTGGTTACACTTTCCTTTTGAGTGTTTAAGACCATACAGTTGGTCCAGATAAACCAATTTATTTTTCCTCTTAAGGTCGTTTGAATATCTGTTCCTCAGGGGTCACATGGGCTTGGGAGGAGCCCCTGCCTCCTTTCTTTTACCAGTTCCGCCTATGTGAAGATAAGCCAAAGGTCCTGCTCGACCAAGGTTGGCTTCGCTTGGAAGCATGGAGGAAATGATTCCTCTGTGTTGACCCTCCTCTTTGTAGACTGGACACTGGTTCAAGTCCATCTTGTGGGGTCTCCTTGGCCTCCTTGATCAAGAGGACAAGTGACCCACAACAATTACAGGACATTTTGAGAGATGCTCATAGTCCCTTGGAGCTTAGTCAACCTAGGATGGCAAGGAGAAAAAGCAGTCCTTTATGTGCCTCTGACCAAATAAGTATAGGCCTCAAAGTATGGCTGTTAGACATTCAAGAAGGTTAGTTCCACCAGTCTGGTACTTTTAATTACCATGTGCTATACAGATAAAGCTTGGCAAAGACCAAACATTCTCAGATAAACCTTGCCTAGACATCTGTTTGATGTATGTTTGAAACAATATCCAACAATAAACCAGAATTTTATTTTGCTGAGTTGTTCTAACAAAAAAAAAAGAATACTTATACTTCATTTGAGAAATATTTTAGAGAAATAGTATTGGGGAGTTAAAATTCTATTGATTTGCAGGCTGGAGTCATAACTCAGTGGTTAAGAGCAGTGGTTGCTCTTGCAGAGGCCCTAGATTCAGTTTCAGCACCCACATGGTGGTTAACAACCATCAGTAACTTCAGTTCCAGCGGATCTGATTCCCTCTTTTGGGCCTCCACAGACATTGGAAGCACAGGTACACTTATATACATGCAGGCAAAACACCCAGACACATAGAAAAATAAAAGTAAATAAATAAAATTTATAAAAATTCCTTGAAAATTTCAGTTCTTTCAGGTCCTCTGAAATGATGATAATGGCCAAATAGTAATATTTTTTATTTTTTTAATTATTGAGACAGGTCTCACTATTGTAGCCCCAGCTGGTCTGGAACTCCCTATGTAGACCAGACTCAGGCTAGCCTTGAACTCACAGAGATACACACCTGTCTTTGCTTTCCAAGTACTGAGATTAAAAGGTACTTTTTATTATTTTAAATACTTATTCTTAATTATGTGTATGTATGCATATCTGTGTGAGGCATGTAAATGTATATTCAGGTTTCCTTGGAGATCGGAAGAGGGCATCATATTTCCTGTAGCTGAAGTTACAGGTAGTTGTGAGCCGCCAGATGTCCGTGCTGGGAACCATACTCGAGTTTTCTGCAAGTGTAGCAAAGAATAGAAGCTCCCTTAACCACCGAGTCACCTCTCTAATCCCTATTTTATTTATTTTGAGACAGGATCTCATACAGCCTAGGCTGGCCTTGAGCTCATTATACAGCTGAAGATGATCTTGAACTCCTGATCCTCAACCCTCCACCTCTTAAATGCTGGGATTATAGGTATGAACCAAATATTCTGATGCAAATATTCTAACATTTCAAAGTCAGCTGAAAAATCAAAATGAGAAACTACAAAATTAAATCAGATATTCTTGGGGAGAAAATATTTTTGCTACAACATAGAAATTTACTTTTATTAATGGCAAACTCCAAATCAGAGATTGTAAAGATCATAATATGGATTAACATTTTCCACAGCAATTTTTTTTGCTCATTATTAGTGTTTAAATGGATAGGTTAAGGGTGGAATGAAACAATATTTTTTCAGTCCAATTTCTGCCACTTACTACCTCTAGGATATGAAAAACTTTTTAGTTTATTTATTAATTTTTAAAGTTAACATACAAAGTAATAGGTTTCATTATGGCTTTTTTATACACAGGACTCGTTATATTTTGTTCTACTTTATCCTCCCCCCGACTACCATGTTCTCCCTTGTGCCCTGATGTCCCTCTGACTCTAAAATTCTGTAAGATTCACTTTTTATGTATGTGGGGTATGTGACGATGTATGCAGTGCCTGTGGAGGCCGGAAGAGGGTGTCGAATCACTGGTGCTGGGGTTGCAGGTAGTTGTGAACCACCCAAGGAAAGTGCTAGGCACCAAACTCCTATTCTCTTGCAAGAGGAGTGTGGGCTCTTAACCACTGAGCCATCTCTGATTAACTTTTTTTAGGGCTCAATTATATCATCTATGATAAAAGCACCTCTTTATAGATAATCAGGAAAAAAAATAAGACGATGCTTTGAAAGTCTACAGCACAGTTTCTGAGATGAAATAAGCTTTTCAATAACGTCTGATGCTTTGACCATGACAACTGTGAAGATCCTGATGTTAATGATTGTTAATGATGGTGATTATTTCCCTAGAGGTAATCAAAGCTGTAATTTAGTTTCTGCGCTGCAGCTTCCAAAGTGGACTGTAGAGATTTGCATTCTTCAGGAGGGTGAAGTTAAGGAACTCACTATAACAACTTGCATTTTATTTCTATTTATTTATGTGTGTGTGCACGCGTATGTGGGGGTGCCCATGGAGGCCAAAGGGAATGTTGGATCCCTTGGAGCTGGAGTTACAGGCATTTGTGTGTCACCTGCAGTACATGGAGGCATCTGAACATGGGTCTTCTGCAAGAGCAATAAACGCTCCTTAGCGCCGAGCTATCTCCAGCCCTTTACATAGTTCTAAATGACAGTCTCAATGCTGAATGGACCTTCTTCTGGTTTCTTATTCTTTCCTTCAATGAACTAACTTTCCGTGTGTGTGTGTGTGTGTGTGTGTGTGTGTGTGTGTGTGTGTGTGTTCATGTACTACATTTGCTAATGGAGGCCAGAGAATAACTTTGGGTATCGTTCCTCAGGAACTGTCTTTTATTTATTTATTTTTGAGGTTGGGTCTCCCACTGGTCTGGAGTTTGCCAAGTAGGTTAGGGCAGCAAGTTCTGGGATCTCTGCCTCCCAGTACTGGGATTATAAGCATGTGTTCACACATCCAAATTTTCTTCTTTTATTTTACATGGGTTCTGAGGATCAAACTCATGTTTTCCTGTTTGGAATGAAGCACTCAACTGGCTGAGGTATCTCCCCAGGCACTATACAAATGTTTATTGAAGATTAGCTTAAAGTAAAAATTACGTGGGTTTTTTTTTTTTTTGGTAACATTCAAATGAAACCATGTCAAGACCAGGCGTGGTGACACAAGCTTATAATCTCAGTACTTGTGAGTCAGAGTTAGGAGGATTACTTCAAGTCCAAGGCCAGGGTGGTCTACACAGGGAGTGCCAGGTCAGTCAGCAACACATAGCAGGTCCATGTCCCTATCTCAAAACTCAATGCAAAACAAAAAACTTCACACATTCTTCATGTTACCTTTCTTAAAAATTAATAACCAGTGACCCTAAAGTGAGTAGATAAACTTCAAATTAAAATGAGTTAAAATTCTCAGTACAGAAAGGCCAAAGTCATCTAAAAAAATACAATTATCAACTAAGTTGAATTAACTATTATGCAAATAACCTCCAATGCTATTTTAAGAATCAGCAATAAAACAGATAAACTGTTGTAATTTAATTCTATCAAAGGAGGTACAGTGCTAATCCATTTATTCCAACCCTGCCAATAGGAAAATTAAATTCTGGGGGAAAATATAACAATGTAATTATCTCTCCAGCAGAAAACAATGAACCCCCAAACCTTTTTTTCCTTTTATCCAGGAATGAGTTTGTAGTCTAATTACTTGTGTTTTGAAAAGTTGCATAATCATTAACTGCACAGCTAGGCTTTGTTGGGTTTCTACTGTAGTGGTCCACAGCACCTGGAGTGCTAGGAGTTTTAATTATGAGATTCCCCGATGACTGTT